GGATGCAAATTAAACCAAGGACGATCACCTGTTCCAATGTCTGCCTCTGTCATTTTGAGCTTTGGCACCAGCTGAAGCATGCTTCCTGGATTACAACCGTCCCCCATCCCCCAGGTTTGGAATCCTCCCTTCCACCTTTCGCCTTCCCCCTAGTTATCACCAACAAAAAACCATGCACGGTGGGGCGTCCACACCTCGGCTGTCGCCCTTTCTAGCCTCAGTTGCTCAAGTTGGTCGAGAATTTCGCAGACCTGCCACAGGCAAGGGCCCACATGCATGGCAACCCACACATCCCACATGCACTTGTGTCACCGGTGGCCCATTCACCACCATCACCCAAGAGTCTGTCCACGATAAGAGTGCAGACATGGTGATGAACATTTTGCAATTCTTTGTTCTGGTGGGCGGTGGGGGTGATGGGGGTGGGAAAGGTTTCTTTTCCTGATTTTTTGGTATTTCAGGGGTTGGTGGGGGCTTCCTCAACTAGTTGTCAAATTCTACTCCATGAAATCATTGAAGATATTTTTCATAAAGTGTGTAATCAAGGATGCGGGGGTGAGCTCGATCAATCAATCAATCAATCAATCAATCAATCAATCAATAGAATTAGACCAATCAAATCAACGATATCATTCAAAGTTTTCAAATCAACCAATCAATCAAATCATTCAATTGATTCAATCAATCAATTAATCAATCAAATCAATCTCTCAATCTCTCAATCAATCAGCCAAATCGTTGCTACGCACTACGTTGACCCTTTATTAAAAAAGCCAATCAATTAATCAAGAACGAAATAAAGGAACAAAGAGAGATAGACATTGGAGTGCCATGACTTGCGATCCCACCAGGGACAGCGAAGGGTCAGTTTGCTGGCAAAAACTTTATTACGTGGGGCGGAGGTCGATACCGAGCAAATGAAGTCAAAAGAGGGAAAAAGGAAAGAGCAAAGGAGAAAGCAAGATCCAAAAATGAGGAAACATGAAAGCTCTCAGTCTCTCTCTTCCAGTGAAGTAAATAATCTAGCAGGTTGTGACAGTAGACTGGTGTCAAACTTGTACAAACGACTCGAACCCCCCACAGATTGCCGCAGGTATCGGACGAGGGTGCCTTTCCTATGGCGGTGGCACGTATTCAGGCCAATGACTGCAGTCAGGTACATCCCTTTGTATGACCTGAGGTTTTCTCAAGTCTTCAAGGATGGGCTTTCAGAAGCAATATACAGCTCCAGTTTCTCAGGATCGAGTCCTGAGGGGAACTTCAAAGGTCATCCCCATCTGATTCACTGGAGGTAGTTGTGTGTAGCAAAGAGAAGATCAGAAGGGGAAAAAAAGCGTAGTACTCGTCACACAGAAAGTGTCCACTCCACTCAAATCTCACCCCATCAATTCTTCAACTCAAGTACACGATGCCCCAACCCCCCCCTTCCATGCTGCTGGCGTATACAGCATACTCATCAGGGGGCCTCCCCACACCACCCTCCTCGTACTCGTGAGATTAAGATGTTCAACTAGCACAGCCCTTTCTCTCCTTTTATACCCAGTCCATGAACCATATATTACTTGTCCTTAATAACTCGTTTCCCTGCTGATACATGCCCTCCCCTTTTAATTGCTACTACTACGCATTCCAAAAACGTCAGTTCCGCCGCAGCTGCTCAATCGATTCACCACCTCGAAGAATATAAGACCAGAAAACGAAAAAAAAAAAAAAAAAAAACGATTCACCACCTCGAAGAATAAAGACCGGAAAACGAAAAAAACAAAAAGAAGGAAATGTACGTCAGATATCCATCCACCTACCTCAAGTCTCCATATCGATACTCACGGGTTCACCTTGTTCAACGAGATCGACTAATCATTTACTCTTCCTCTCCCACCACCATTCCTTTTCGCTTTTCCCTTTCTCTTTTCCCTTTCTTCCGTTTTTTCCAATCTATTCTCAATTTCTCAGACCTTCGTCATCCCAGTATCCCGACCTCCCTACCTCCGCTTCATCTCCTTCTTCAGTGACGAGACCAGCGCAATGCCATGCTTTCCTCTTCCTCTTCTACCTCCCGCCTCCCTCATTCCATTTTCACCTCCTCCTCTTTCTATTTTCACTTCTCCTTCATACCGGTATAATCACGACAGTCACTTTCCTATCCCCAAAGCACACCAACGCACCCTCACCATGCATCATGACTGTACGGCGCCGGTAAGATGGTGTGTAATCAGGGTGCGTTATGTTCGGGGGAAGACCGTAGTTGGAACAAATGGAATTACAGCACTCTGCTTTGAATTTCACCCCCGTCTTTCCGATCGAGCTGGATCAGGCACTGGAGAGAAAAAAAATATTCTCCTCGCCCAAAGGCAGCCTGCAGCCATTATCACTGTATCTAGACTCAAAGTTGGCCCAAATGCGGCTATAAGGACAGTACGTTCTTTTCGGGGAAGAGGGATTATAAACAAAATAGACAAGGAGGAAAGGATCGGAAGGTAATGCCAGATGGATCGGAGGCAATTGAAAGGGAATAACAACAACAACAATCAGTGAATTATTAACCATAGTAAATAATGAAACGGTATTCACCAATTCGTGGTCGCTGAGGCAGATCCCAGGGCTCGATCCCTAGTTCCCCAACTTACCTGTGTACAATACCTGCATCAACTCGAAGAGTTGAACCTGCGACCTGTAGAACCGCCAGTGGTAGGTAGGTCTGTCGTAGGTCTATAGGTAGCCAGGATTCGATCCGTAGACCTGTAGATTAGAAGGCTAGCTGCAGTCCTTCTAGAAGGTTGGCAAGTGGTCAAGTGGTGCAGGCAAGTGGGCAAGTGGTGTGACTAAAGCAAGC